ATACTGTTGAAGCCTAGCTTGAAGAATTTTGAGCATTACTTCGCTAGCATGTGAAATGAGTGCAATTGTACAGTAGTTTGAACATTCTTTGGCATTGCCTTTCTTTGGGATTGGAATGAAAACTGACCTCTTCCAGTTCTGTGGCCACTGCTGAGGTTTCCAAATTTGCTGATATATTGAGTGCAGCACTTTAACTGCATCATATTTTAGGATGGGAAATAGCTCAGCTGGAATTCTATCACCTCTACTAGCTTTGTTTGCAGCAATGCTTCCTAAGCCCCACTTGACTTCACACTCCAGGATGTCTGGCTCTAGGTGAGTGACCACACCATCATGGTCATTATCTTAATAACCTATTTTGTATAGTTCTCATGTGTATTCTTGTCACCTCTTCTTAATCTCTTCTGAGGAGGAAGGTAGTGGCTACCATCTATTGAATGCATATTATGTGGTTGATTAAATGTTAAGTGAGTTACACATGCCACGCTCTGTAGTTGTTATAAAAACCCTATGCCTAAGGATTATTGTTGGTGGTGGTGTTTCCCTTTTTAAAAAAAAACTAAACCTGGGAATGGTGATATCTGCATATGGCATGTTGTTTGGTCCATAGTATTATATCAATTACAATGACATTGATATATCATGACATCATTGATATCAACATCAAATTTCTTGGTATTGATCATGTCCTTTTGAATCTGAGATAATATCATCGGGAGAAGCTGGGTGAAGAATGCAAAAGAATTTTGAACTATTCTTACAACCTCTTATGGGTGTAAAATTATTTCAAAATAAAAACACTTTTTTAAGATAAAGAATAATCCTGGGACACAGGGTGATTATACAGCTTGCCCAGATCACAAAGTTTGTATATGAAGAGATCAATTTGAACCCATGTTCTTCTGGTTCTAAAGCCCAGGTCTTAAGGGTTGTAGTCCATGTTCCTGTCTTCACCGGTTTTTCTTTCAGATAACATAAGCCCTTTAGCACCATGTTGTTCTCCTTACACTGGTTACTGGGAAGCTCAGGGTTAAGTGGTGCCAAACTGCAGCATAATTGGAATGCCTATTTCATTTCTCTTAGGTCTATTTCCTTCCAGCATTTATCCAACTTGGTCTTTAACAGACTCATTTTTTCACTTTTTTTGTCTTTTAGCAAACTAGCTAAATCTTCTTGGAAAAGATTCCAGGTTATAAATAAAGCTAAGACTCTTTCTCCTCAAGTTTCAAGAATATTCTTACCCTTGATTTTCTGAAACTAGAGATTACTTGGTACCACTCAGCCAGCATCTCTGAGTCCACATCCTAAAACAGGGAGGCACTCGAAGCAAGAGATGAGATAGAAAACAATGGCTTCAGGTTGCAAAGGTGAGAGGGCTTTCTTATCTTCATTTTATTTTCTGAAAATTAAATACTTGGCAGGGTTTTCCTTGAGCTAATTACCATCCCTTCTTAACATTTTAAGTAACTGCTCATTTAGAGTAGTGAATGATTGCTCTGAGATTAGAGTATAGGGAAAATCTTTCTGTTGGGAATAATCCACTTATGCGGCTGTTTGTCTGAAGCAGAGATAAACAGAGATTTTTTTTTTTTTCTTGACATGCCAGGCATAAGAGAGAACAGGGTGATTAATGAAACTCTGCTTTTTGCCAATAAATTTCTGACTTCAGATACAAGCTCATAGTTGTTGCGTTTTCTGGGGATTTTTTTTTCTTTTTTTCCTTCTTTCCTTTTAACCCAAAGGAAAAAGAAAATGGCACCACTCAGATTCTAGAGCCCATTTAAATCTGTTACACTGTAGACTATTTTTGGTTCTTAAAATGGTTTAGGTAATTTTTCATTGGCTCTACTGGGAATGCCACTTTGTGCTCTGTTATTTATAATCTGCAGAAATTAATTATGCTGCTAATTAACAGCTTGCAAACAAATTATTGCTCAAGGAGTTATTTATTCAGTTATGAAAGCACAACTTCAGGGTTCTATGTACATTCCTTCTGACAGCTCTTTTATATCTTGCTTTTGTTTCTGAATTTTTCTGCTTCTAAGGTTCAGCAAAGGTCTGCTTGCAAGGGAGGACAATTAGTCAGGATCTGGGTAGCCAGGAACTGGGTCAGCTGCTCTACTTGGGGGGAGGAAAAGGCAGGAGGGTTGCAGAGCCTACTTAGTATGCACTCTGGAATTGATAAAGACATTCCTTATGTGAGTGGTAGCTCTTGGAACAACCACCACAAGGTTTCATAAGCCCATTTTTGCACCTCCAAGACTCTTATGAGAGCCCTGGAGGGCAGTGCTGACATCATACAAGGAAGAAAGCAGAAATGTAAACACATGCCATGTATTTATCATTGGTAACACTACCATTCTCTATGCCCATGTTCACAGCAGATAGGAAAATGGATCACAGACCTACTTCAACCTCTGAAAATTTTTCAACATGGTCTTCCAGGTTCAGTTCAGTTCAGCCCAGTCGCTCAGTCGTGTCCAACTATTTGTGACCCCATGAATCACAGAACGCCAGGCCTCCCTGTCCATCAGCAACTCCCGGAGTTTACTCAAACCCATATCCATTGAGTCGGTGATGCCATCCAGCCATCTCATCCTCTGTCGTCCCCTTCTCCTCCTGCCCCCAATCCCTCCCAGCATCAGGGTCTTTAATGAACTTTAAGCCAACTTTTTCACTCTCCTGTTTCACTTTCATCCAGGTAGGCATTGCCAACTGTTGATATCCTGGTAGGAGCAAAAGGGTTTGCCAAATTGAGTGGTTTGATATTCCCAACTCATGTAAACAACTCTCCATGTCTAACCATGCTGTGGGACTGGACAATGGGATGGAAGAAACTATAGACAAGAAACCTCTTTCTTCCTTGGCAAGACCTCAGAGGGGCACTCAGGACACAATCTGACTCTAACTGACCCCACCTGCCCAAGGAGACACCTAAGAACTGCCCCCAGGCAAAGTCACAAAGTGCCAGCTCTGTTGAAGGGCCATGTTGGACAGTTCCTGCAGGAGCAAGGAGTTCATCACAGAAAGAAAACAGAACACTGGCAGGGTTTGGTGTACCTGCTTCTGATTCTTTGTATTCCATTCAGTGGCTGTGAGATCCTTAGTGAGTCTCTTTCTCTCTGGTCCTTAGATGTTCATCTGCCAAATGAAGATGGTGCACAGGGTTTCTGAGATCCTTCTAGCTCTGGATGCCTAATGTTCCAATGCTGCTGTGAGTATCAGATACACATGAAGATTCCCATGATCAGGTCTATTCACCAATTAGAAAAACGAAGACACCAAAACAACTCACTAAACCATTCCTGCACTCAGATAAGAGAAGCAGAGATGGGTTTCAGGATCACACTGAAGAACACAGAAGAAAATAATATGAGAAAAACAAGTGTGAAAGTCACCATGTTGGCATTTGATAGTTGGCAAACTCCAAGCAAAATTTACCCCTAAGTTCAAAGGAATCAAAACCACCTTGTGGCTCTGGAGACATCAAGATCCCCAACCTCCCTTCAGTACTTCAACACCCCTAGAAGCCCATCTGCCTCTGTCTTAAGTCACCAACCCACCTCTCACATATTTCAGAGCTCAAGGCCTAGTCCATTTTCAGCAAATGTGATCACTTTCTTTAAGCCCCTCTTTTTAAGGCCAAGAAATAAGAACCCACATTTATCTCATCAGAGAAGTCAAGTCACAAGCCCAAGTTCTACACCCCAGAAGTGGCAAAGCTAGACTTTGACCCCATGACTTACGATCATTGATCCTGTACTGTCTCCACACCACTGGGTTCCCTGACATGTCTTTACTTAGTGATCAACTTCAGAACTGAGAGGCTAATCTCAGGCCAATTCAGTGAGGCACTCATGAAGCTCCCTTTCTCAGGGAGCTTACTCCCTCCAAGCAGTAAAAACTTTGTGTGAGGACTTTGGGGGAGGCTAAATGCAGCAAAGGACAGAACATGGGCTGAATTTGAGTTCTGGCTAGCCCTATCCTGATTAACTTTCTGACATTAAATAAGTTTCTGAAAATGCTTTGAGCTTCAATCTTTTCATCTGAAAAAGGGCCACAATAAATTACTACCATGCCCAGAGACATGTACAAAGATGTTCATCACAGCCTGGTTTATCATTGTAAATACAGGAAAGAACTGACAATAATCCATCAGTAGGAATATAAACAAAGAGATTGATGTTTAGTCATAAAATGGAATAATTTATACACAGTCAAAATGAACGAATTAGATATGCCTGCATTAAGGTGAAACAAATTTCAAAAACTAAGAGTGAGTAAAGCAAAACACAAATGGCTGGGAAGTATGTAATACAAAATATAGTGTATATTCCATATTTTTATGTTTGTATGCCTATGTACTAAGAAGTAAAAATATACTTGGGAGTGACACTCAGCAACCTCAGAATATTGTTTCCTCTGCAGAGGGAAAAAGGGAAGGCCTGTGAGTAGAAACTTCTGTTTCTGACATGAGTACTACATGATTGCCTTTAGGTCCACTTCCTGTTTCTAGAAAAATTTCAGCAATTTGGGGCTTTCCACACTACATCCTATTTTAGGTATACTATGGAGGTTCAATATTTAAGGGAACCTTGAGTAATCCCTGCTTTAACAAAGAATTCTTCTGTTAAGTAGTCAACGCCTAATTCTGTCTATAAACTAGAGTAGGGTTTGAAGTTGCTTTCTAAAAGATGCTCATTCATTTAACAAAGATTAGTTAAGGTCATCTCTCCACCAGTCACTGTGCTAGGTTGCTAGGTAGGCGCATACAGAATTAAGTAAAATAAACATGGATCCTGCGATCTGAGAGTTTGCAGCATGGGAAAAAACTAAAGATGTAAACAAACTAAATTCTGTGTAAGAAATGAACAGTGCTAAATTCTGTGTAAGAAATGAACAGTGTCTTACGATAATACTGAATAAGTGGCAGAGTGTTTCAGTCATCTACGAGGTGTAAAAACCAATCCAAAATTCAGTGTCTTAAAATAACAACTTACCATTTCTCACAATTCTGTTGACTGATTAGAAGGTTCTTCTGCTTCCCATGGTATTGGCTGGGGTGCAGAGCTGCCTGAAACGTCCAAAATGGCCTCATTCCCGTGGCTATAGGGGTTCTGGCTGGGAGCCCAACTGGTGACTGGAGCCCGAGTCCTCACAAGCCTTTCCACAAACCTTTTAGAACCTCATCCACATGATGGCTGCCTTTCAAGCAGTGTTCTGAATAGAAAAAACAAAAACTTCAGATATCTTAAGGCCCAGCCCCCAAATTACACAGGGTCACTTCTGCTCCATTCTGTTGGTCAAAACAAGTCATGAGATTATTCCAGGTTCAAGAGTAGAGAAATCTGACTCTATTTCCAAAAGAACTGTTTTTTTTTTTTTTTTTAGAAAATTTTTAAAACATGAGTGTTGGCAGTCAGGGCCAAGGTAAAACCTGTGCTGCTTTCAGGCGCCTCTGAAAACCGTGAGGGCCCCCTCGCAGCCCCCGATCCATCACCGTCACTCCCAGGGCCCCCATGCCGGACCTGGGAGAAGTGGGAACACAGGCGCGTGCTCATCAGGTAAGCAGAGAGGACAACCGCGAGGAGGCGGCCCTGGGTCCCACAAGGCAAAAGGCGTGCCTCCCTGACCGTCTCCACCCACGGAGGGCTGCTCACCGGAAGCACCTCCTCAGTGGGAACCCAAGGGCCTCACTGGGCACAGGAGACGATGCCACTGCCGGGCCTCGGGGACCCGATGGACTGCCCGGAGCTCTCCAGGAGCATCGCCCAGGGCCTCCGCCGCGCACAGCGCTGAAGCAGGAAGTCCCCACCGCTATTCCCGCCCAGCCGAGCAAGAGGCCCTCTCGCGAGACAGCAAGGGGACCGCGCGAGAGCTTGTGCTGCACCGACGACCAGGACCGTACCCCGCAGTGAGGTAGTGGGTGAGACGTCCGGTGTCTGACCTGAGGCTGCATCCCAGCCTTCCACACACTACAGGCCACCTACAGGCAGGGAGGGGAGGCCACGGTCGCGCAGAGAGAACCAGAAGAGCAGCTGCGTTTGCTATCATCTTCCATCCCTTGTCTGGTGTGGCTTAAGCCTGGGCGTAGCGAGAAGGACATCATTACATCCATCTGCCCCATTTCTTCTTCTTTTTTTTAATTTTTAAAAATTTTTAATTTTTTAAAAATTAAAATATAGTTGATTTACAATGTTGTGTTAGTTTCAGTTGTTCAGCAAAGTGATTCAGTTATACATAGATATAGATCTATTTTTTATATTTTTTATTTTAATTAATTTATTTTTTAATTGAAGGATAATTGCTTTACAGAATTTTGTTGTTTTCTGTCAAACCTCAACATGATGTCACCTCTCTTGTGAAACTCCCTCCCATCTCCCTCCCCATCCCACCCCTCTAGGTTGATACAGAGACCCTGTTTGTGTTTCCTGAGCCATACAGCAATTTCCCCCCCTCCCCTGGTCTGGAACAGAGAGTCGACAAGTGGTTTGTTGTGGCATTAAATGAGATTAAAACAAATACCCAAAAACGAGAAACCAAAGATGAACCCCAGACAAATGGCAGGTACAAAATCAGGCAAATAATATTTAAATTAATGGACTATCAGTTAATTGCTCAGACATGTCCGACTCTTTGCGACCCCATGAATCGCAGCACACCAGGTCTCCCTGTCCGTCACCAACTCCCAGAGTCCACTCAAACTCATATCCATCGAGTCGGTGATGCCACCCAGCCATCTCATCCTCTGTCGTCAGGCACTCAAAGGGGCACCCCGAGGTAGCGTCCTACTCTATAGTTCGGGGCATCAATCACTTAAAGGAGCACCTTAGGTGGGGTCCTACTCTGTAGTTCAGTTTGCAGGCGTTTGATAGGCCAGCCTCTCTATTGTTCAGCCGCTGATGCTGGCACAGGGGGAGAGAGAGCCTATGGTGATGGCTGCACCCCCTGTGCATGACTCAGCAGTATAGCCTTGCTTCCACGGCTGCCTGGCTTTCCTCCACAGGCATTTCCCACCACAGTCTCCTCCCTCACATGCCCTCAACCTGTCTCTCTGCAGTTAACAGCAGCCCACACCCTAGGATTGCTCCACAATCCCTAAACTCTAGCTCCCCGCTGCTGCAGCTTCTAGGGGACCTGTGTCCCTGCCCAGGGTATGTATGGCTTTGGCAAGGACTGTCTGATTCTCATTCCATTTAGGCTGCCACGGATCAGCTGTTTCACTCTCAGCCTTAAATGTTTCTTCTCCTCTGACTCAGACAATTGCCCCGATGTGGGGATTGGACCCCTGCTTCCTGCCAAGGGCACGTCCAATCCTATTAACACTCCTGTTTTTCCCACTAGTTCCTTCATCCTACCTAGTTTTATGTGGTTCTATATATTCTTTTCGCTGGGCAGATACTCCTGCCTGCTCTCAGCTGGTGTTCTGCACGCACCTCTGTGGCTAGAGGTGTATTCCTAATATATCCATAGAGAGATGTACTCCACGTCCACCTATTCTTTCACCATCTTGTTTCCATTGTTTTCTTTTTTTTTTAGGTTATTTCCCCTTATCAAAGTGAAAGTGTTAATGGCTGAGTCCTGTGGGTCTCTTTGCAACCCGAGGGACCATAGCCCATCATGCTCCCTTGTCCATGGAATTCTCCAGACAAGAATATTGGAGTGGGTAACTATTCCCTTCTCCAGCGGATCTTCCCACCCAGGGATGCAACCCAGGTCTCCTGCATTGGAGGCAGAGTCTTTACCATCTGAGCCACCTCGGTAGCCCCATATACATATTTTTTTTCCCTAGGTTCTTTCCCTTTATAGGTTGCTACAAAATATTGAATAGAGTTTCCTTTGATATACAGTAGGTCCTTGCTGGTTGCCTCTTTTGTAGGTAGGAGCATGTATTTGTTAATCCCAAACTCCTAATCCATCCCTGACCCTCTGGCTCTACTTCTTGATGAGAGGATTGGTGAACAATTGACCACCCAGTTCAGTCCACCGAGCAGAAACAGGAACTGACTACAGTTGAGGAACTGCTGTGTACCATGGTTTTTTTTTTTCACAAACATCCACTAAGCTCATCATCAAAGCAAAGTCTCTAAGAAGTCTCATGGTGAAGAACATGATTTCACTTACTGTTTAAGAAAAAATGTATCTTTTATTTATTTACGTCCGTACACATTTTTCATTTATATTAAGCCAAGTGTCTTTCAAGGTAAGTTGACCATAGGCACTTTTTTTATTCAGAGAATTCCTGGAACTAGCATCTTTGCATTCAGTTTGGGAAATAAGTGTTCTAAAAATGAAGTCGATTTTTATAGATTAGAGTTGCCTAATGCAGAATCCAAAATGACATGTATCTCATGTTCTTTGGAGAAAAAGTTCTTCCGTGTAAATCAGAAAAATTAATAAACACTCTGACACAGCCTGCATGACACAGCCCAGGCCTGAGGTGGGAGGGGTGGGTCTGTCCAGGAGAGAATGGAGGAGAGGGATCTGGGTTCTGTCACCTGCTCAGGCCTCCCCAGACCTTCAGCAGTTCCCTAATTACTCCGGTCTAGGAATGACAAACTCTGGAATTTAAATTTGTGTCTGGAATAAAAATCTACAAGTAAAATGCCATCAACCTATATAATACTACAACCACCTGGATAATTATTAGAGATGAACTGCTGTGAATTACATGAAAGACGAAAAAACCTCTCTTGAACACAATCCAGCATCCAGCAGACAAGCTGTGATGTTCGGCAGCCTTGGTGGTTGTGTTACAATTGAATTACAAGGAGAAAACAGCTCTGTGCTGATTTCATAATTATCATGATCTACTATTATGATCCATCACCAACAGAGCAGTTGGTGAAGCTGCAATAAATCACCATTATTTATATTGCAACAAATCACAAGGAAGTATCATTGAGAATCATAATTCACATTCACTTCAAATCATAATTACCCACATATGACTGTCTAGGTATGTCATGAAGGAAGCATGGAAAAAAAATCATAAACCACACTGTCTTGGAGACTTGGCTTCCCTTTTTAAGATGTGCTAGGAAGGAGAAGACAAATCTTGCTATTTGTTACCCCACAATTATCTGTCCTGGCCCTTCTCAGATCATACCAAAAGTGGGCTAAGTTGTAGGGTCCACCTTTAGGGTGAAGACTAGCCAAATTTACAAACTTCTGGCTTGACACATGTCCTAGGACATGCTTTAGGCAAGATTAAGGTTCCAGACAGAAATTGAATTTAGATAAGCCATGCCAATTTTTTTTTTTTTTTTACCATGTACCAAGATTTTAGGATCAGTAAGAGTACTATGCTCTTCCTATTGGGACATGAGGCAAAGAAAAAAACAGTGCTACTGATCCTGTCTTTCTTTAAAATTATGATATTTTTGCTCATCATGGATTGTTTATATTCATTTTAATTTTTTAAACTCTTCCATGAAAACATTATTTATCTCAATGACTGGGTTTTCTGACTTTCTCTTAAATTCTGCACCCTAGAAGAATGCCTCAGCTCCTCATTCTAATCCCACTCTGTAATTTTCTCAATTGCCCTATGGGGTAGATACAATTATTTCCATTTTAGGGATGAAAAACTAAGGCTCAGTAACTTGGTCAAGTTATATTCTGGATGGGTTTGAAAGCTCACTGCCAGGGAGAATAAGTTATGTACTTCTTTTATCTTCTTCTCTCATCCTACACGATATCACTGAATGAGGAAGCTGAGTTAGATTGGGTTCTAGTTCAAAGGCAGAGACCTGCAGTAACAACTTACCATAACAGAAAGGAGAGTGGACTTCTTGTTAGGGAACCATTGAATAAAACCTGCCTGCCTTGACCAGTCACAATAATAAGCGCTTACATGAGTTATCACGCAAGAGGAGGTCCCAATAAGGAATCCTGGTGCTGCTGCCAAAAACTAACCAGGAGAATTCGGGAGGGGCTGAGTGCAGAGAGGAGATGCCAGTCAGCCTCCCAGAAACCTTCACTCTTGAATCCATCTTGGCTGAGAGATGCATGTGCCACCAGGAAAGATCTTGAGTCAGACCAGATATGAGCACAAGCAAGCTGATTGGCCAAAGACAACCAGAAAGCTAACCCCATTCCCTTAAAACCTAAGACTGCAAGCCATGTGGCAGGGCAGTTCTCCTGGGTTGTCTTACCTGCTGCTCTTCACCCCAGCACCCCTTTTCAACAGTCTTCTGCTTTCGTCAGTATGTGTGTCTCCTCAGACAATCCCTTTCCAAGTGTTAGACAAGCACCCCTCTCTGGGGTCCCCCTTCCAGACACATTCTTTGCAGCCCACTTTCTTATTCCTCTGAGAGCAAGGACTCTTAACTAAGAGCCTACAGGGGTCAACAGTGTTTGCAGGGTCCACAAACTCCCTCAAAATCATATGACATTTGTGTGTGTATACGTGTGTACTCTGGACAGAGGAACTATAGGTGCTATCAGCTTCTCAAAAGAATTTGATCCCCCCAAAAGTCAGAACCACTGACTTATGACAGCTGAGGTCACTTATAGTGTAAAGTCTTACACTAAGTGATCCAGACACAACATGTTAACTATACTTTTATCACAATCAAAGAGGCTCCATCAAAGTAGCATGCAGGTATTGGTACCAAAGGTCCAACAGAAAGTCTTACAGCGCACTGTCCCTCTCCAGAAGCTTGAAGTATGTTAGTTGCCCAGTTGTATCCGACTTTTACTACTACCCCATGGACTGTAGCCCACCAGGCTCCACTGTCCATGGAATTCTCCAGGCAAGAATACTGGAGTGGGTAGCCCTTCCTGACCCAGGGATT